TTTGGATTCTAAGGGCAAACTACCTGAGTTGAACCCTTACTCTTCCACTTACTAACTCTATGTTATTTGGGACCATTACTCAACTGCTGTATGCCTCAGTTTATACATCTATGAAATGTAGATATTAGTAGTACTTAACCACATAGGATGGCTGTGAAAATTGAATGAGTTAAATTTTGCCAAGCACTTAGAACAATGCCTGCCACATAGAAAGTGCTATTTATTATTAGCCTTCATTATTTAAAAAAAATTTTTTTTAATGTTTATTTATTTTTTGAGAGACAGAGCATGAGTGAGGGAGGGGCAGAGAGAGAGGGAGACACAGAATCCAAAGCAGGCTCCAGGCTCTGAGCTGTTAGCACAGAGCCTGATGTGGGGCTCAAACTCACAGGGTGGGAGATCATGACCTGAGCTGAAGTTGGACGTTTAACCGACTGAGCCACCCAGGAGCCCTTATTAGCCTTCATTATTTTTATTAGAGAGAAAACAAAACTGAAGGCATGGCTCAAAGGACAGATCATTTTGAGGGAATAATTAGATGGGGAAAATCTACCTACAGTGTATGGCTAAAACGAAACAGTTCGGGGCAATGGAGAGAAGGGGCATCTAAGTTAAGATTGGGAGCTTTGAAGAAGAGGTACCAAATAAAAATGATTTCTCTTTTAAAGTTTCAGATAGAACAATTTCTAGATGCCTAGTCCTGGCATTTGGGGGATTAGGAAAGTCCTTCATCATATACACCTTCCATAGTGGTGAACTTCTGCTGAAGTTAAGGCAGAATAAAAGGGTACTCCCAAATTCAGTGGCATACAACACTAATCACATATTGATTGCTGTGGGTCTGCAGGTCAGTGTAAATTGGTTCCAGATTGTGTATCTGCTCCATGGGGCTTATTCTGTGGTCCAGGCTGAAGACTAGACCATGCTCTTCTCCTGGTGGAGGTCAGAAGCTTCCAGAGGGCACATTCCATTGGCCAAAACAAGCCATATGGCCAAGTCTGACATCCATGGGATTGGGAAGTACTATTTTCCCATGGAGGTGGGGAGGGAAAGAGATGGGGGAAATATATACTGAACAACAGCCTTACCTTCTACACCTTGCATCTAAGACTTCATCGTTTTGATCATGTCTCTTGTCAAACCTTTGTTTTTTCAGACCAAGGAATTAAAATCTCTTCTCTCTTGATAAAGAAGTCACTCCCTTCCTGCTTTGCTCTCCCCTCTGATTCTCCTCACCTTGTTGGAAGTGGCCCAGTTTGTTGGTCTTCTTGATTGTATGTACACATTGAACTGTTGGACTTTAGAGTAAAGTTGGAAATAGATTCCAGTATTCTTTTCTGCGATCAAGATAAATAAACTAAGTGAAAGGAAACTAACATTTTTGGAGTCAGCTACATGCCAGGCACCAAGCTGTATATTCTGCATACCATGTTAGGTATTCTTCATTTGTTCTCTCCCCTTCAATCCTCAGAATCAAATGCCTCTAGGGACTAGGCAGGCAAATGAATGAAGCAAGTAGGGTATAATTTTCTCATTTCATATGTAACTATATTCACAGAAGTACAGTATTTTATTCTCAAAAAGAACCTCTGTTGAAATTTAAGCCCTATTTTTTAGTTAATTTTTAGCAGGCATTTTTGCCCGACACCCAGCTCTTCCTATAGGCCACTTCAGAATAGCACATTAAATTGCCTTCTTTTGACATGGCCACACTTTGAACATTAAACATTTAGAAATGTTCTCTCCTCTTCCGCAAAGAACACTGCTCGCTTGTAATTTCACATAACCCTCATGATCTGTATTTAATTTCCCCACTTTTGTTATTTTTGTTAGGAATATGCATACACAGATATTTCACTTTCCTCTTGATTATAAGAAAATGACTACAACAATGATGTCAAGTGGCAACTTACATTCAGCTGTATTGTTGGGGCTTCTTAAAGGAAATGTCTTCTAGAGGAAATGGTGAGGACATTGGGGAAAATGAGTGCAAGATGGGGAGGCATCACCCAGCTCTAGACAATTATTGCTATTTAGGAATTCAAGCCCAGCATTGCCAGATCGTCTTTTTATTTTTTTTAACATTCATTTTTGAGAGAGAGAGAGAGCATGAAAAGGGGAGGGGCAGAGAGAGAGAGGGAGACACAGAATCCAAAGTTGGCTCCAGGCTCCAGCTGTCAGCACAGAGCCTGATGCAGGGCTCCAACCCACGAACCATGAGATCATGACCTGGGCTGAAGTCAGATGCTTAATCAACTGGGCCACCCAGTTGACCCTCTTCTCATTCTTAAGACGAGTCAGGAATACAGATTTTGTGTATGTGTAAAATTTCCCAAATTTAAAAATAATGTGACCAATTCCCCATACAAAAAGCACACCATACAGAATCACATGCAGGTGGCCAGAATTTTCCTCCATCTGGTGACTCAAGGAACCAGGATCCCTTTATCTTATGATGCTGCCAACTCAGTATATGGTTTCCAAGGCCCCACTGCAGGGGAAGGAAGAGATAAAGGTGCACACCAGCTCTTAGGTACCTTGGCCAGGAAGTAACATACAGCATTTCATTTCACAGGCCATTGATGAGGTGGGGTTGCTTGATTCCAAAGAAGGCAGGGAAATGAAAAGGAGAAGTCAGATATTTGATGACTACTAACTGCTCCTATCGTAGCAATTAGTTTAAAACAAACAAGCAGACAAACCAGCCAGATTTCTGGGCAGATCAAACAAAATATAAGCACGGTCAAGATTCAATCTAGGAGCTGACATACTAGAGTCATTTTACACCTAGAAACAACTAGGGCTCAAAGAGGTAGAGGGTCTTGTCCAAGTTGTATGGCTAATGAATAGCAGAACTCATATTATTTTCCACACCATTCTACTACTGGGTATTTTTTTTTTTATTGATTTTCTAGTATAGATGGGTATCCATGCTTCCTAAATATCCCTTAAAATTAGCCTATGTCTGATATTAAGTAAAATTTCACAATTAACGAGAACTTTGTGAACTCTAATTAATATTTGATTTATAGACTTTGGTGTAGTCCAGTGTCTCAAACCTGAGTGAGCATGAGAATCAGCTAGAGAGCATGCATGTTCAGACGCAGATCACAGAGCCCTTCCTCAGAGTTTCTGATTCAGTGGGTAGGAGTGAGGAGTAGATAAGAATTTACATTTCTAACTAGTTTTCATGTGATGTTGTCCTGCCCGTTTGGGGGAAGCACTTTAAGAACCACTGGACTAGAATTGGGTTCTAAGTTCTAGAATCAGCCCAGACAGCAAATTAATCACCTTGAGAGGATCACTTAGCTACTGAGTTTCCACTGTGTCATCAGTACTATAAGCATTTTGGATCAGTTCTGCCATTTTATGAGTCCATGGTTAGGAAATATCTTAAAAACAAACAAACCAACAAACAGTGAAATGTCTGGGGTTGGTTGAGGGAGTGCATATTGATTAGGAAGGAGCAAGAGGAAGATCCTGGGAATGTTCTAGTTCTTGATCTAGATGGTAGTTATGTGTGTGTACCTAGGTAAAAATTCATTAAGCTGTACATTTAAGTTTAATGTACATTATACATACATATGTATGTTAACCTCATCAAAAAGATCAAGAATATTCTTGCCAAAAATAAAAAATTTAAAATATTTTTACACTGATTCTGATTTCTTTTATGAATTATTATTTTTATTTTTTTTAAATTAACTTATTTAAATTCAAGTTAACATACAGTGTAGTATTGGTTTCAGGAGTAGAACCCAGTGATTCATCACTTACATACAACACCCAGTGCTCATCCCAACAGTTCCCTCCTTATTGCCCATCTCCCACCTAGCCCATCCCCTACCACCCCCCCCTCCGCCTCCAGCAACCCTCAGTTTGTTCTCTGTATATAAGAGTCTCTTATGGTTTGCCTCCCTCTCTGTTTTTATCTCATTTTTCCTTCCCTTCCCCTGTGTTCATCCGTTTTGTTTCTTAAATTCCACATATGAGTGAAATCATATGATATTTGTCTTTCTCTAACTAACTTATTTCGCTTAGCATAATACATTCTAGTTCCATCCACGTTGTTGTAAATAGCAAGCTTTCATTCTTTTTGATTGATGAGTAATATTCCAGTGTGTGTATGTGTGTGTGTATGCGTGTGTGTGTGTGTGTGTGTGTGTGTGTGTGTGTATACACCACATTTTCTTTATCCATTCATCAGTTGATGGACATTTGGGCTCTTTCCATAATTTGGCTATTGTTGAAAGTGCTGCTATAAACATTGGGGATGCAATTGCTATCAAAATAACCTCAGTATTTTTCACAGGGCTAGAACAAATAATTCTAAAATTTGTATGGAGCCAGAAAAGACCCAAATAGCCAAAGCAATCTTGAAAAAGAAAACCAAAGCAGGAGGCATCACAATCCCAGAATTCAAGCTATACTACAAAGCTGTAATCATCAAGACAGTATGGTACTGGCACAAAAACAGACATTCACATCAATGGAACAGAATAGAGAACCCAGAATTGGACTCACAAATGTATGGCCAACTAATCTTTGACAAAGCAGGAAAGATTATTCAATGAAAAAAGACTGTCTTTTCAGCACATCATGCTGGGAAAACTGGACAGCGACATGCAAAAGAATGAAACTGGACCACTTTCTTACACCATACACAAAAATAAAACTCAAATAGGTAAAAGACTTAAATTTAAGACAGGAAACCATCAAAGTCATATAGGAGAAAACAGGCAGCAACCTCTTTGACATTGGCTGCAACAGCTTCTTTCTAGACATGTCTCTGGAGGCAAGGGAAACAGAGGCAAAAATGAACTATTGGGACCTCATCAAGATAAAAAGCTTCTGCCCAGCAAAGGAAACAACAAAACTAAAAGGCAACTGACAAAATGGGAGAAGGTATTTGCAAATGACATATTGGATAAAGGGTTAGTATCCAAAATCTATAATTCTGTTTTTTCTTTTTAGTGTGATACAGCTAATATTTCTTTATATATTGCCTTGCATAAATAATATCCACTAACATAGTAAAAATGATGGAAAATAAAGTTTTAACATCCACACATTTTGCAGGTTGGGGATATTAAAATTGCTGCCAGCGTGAACCTGACTCCTCATTCTGTTTACCTGCAGGGACAAAGGTAATAAGGAATCTGGGAGTATGGCAGAGGCTGAGGTCGAGATGGCAAGCATGTTCTTCTATGTTTCTTAAGTTCAGCCTGGCCATCAGGGAACCTTTGGTCCCCAAGTGACCTGGGTGAATAGCATCCAAGTGGTCAACTTTGAGCATGAAAGTGTAAAGGATTTTGCCTGTTCCCAACTGAGGGAGAGAAAGATCAGAAGTACATTTCACTTGCATGTACTTGAATAAATGAATGGACCAAAAAACAAAGCACAAAAAAGAACAAAAATATTAAATAATGTAGCCAACTATGCCTGATGATCTGGACAGGGAGCAGATGCCCTGGAATGAGAGAGAAGTGACTGATCTCCCAGTCAGTCTTGGTCCTTGTCTCTCAGAGTGCTGGAGCAAATGTGTGCACCTCTTCCCAACTCTGTGTTCAGTGACAATCACGTTGGTGGCCTGAAATTGGCTGTGCATCTGCACCATGGATATAAGCAAGTGCTACAAATGGGGATGCTCTGTTTCAGACAGTTGGTTGACCAATTCGTCACTGCCTAACCTGCCTCCTGTAGTGGGGACACCTGGACACACTGAAGGTGCTTCTGACATCTAAAGGTATGGATTTTTTTTTTTTTTTTTTTTTTATCTAATGTGAAGTCTTATGATAAGTCTGCTTCCTCCTCTGGTGCTCAGTTGAAGAAACAGCTGGATGTTTCTATACTGCAAGAGAAGTTGGCAGTTTCAGGATTACATAGGAAACTGTTTATTTATTTTTATTTTTTTTAATGTTTATTTTTGAGAGAGTGAGAGACTGAGACCTAGCGCAAGCAGGGGAGGGGCAGAAAAAGAGAGAGAATCCGAGCAGGCTCCAGGCTTCGAGCTGTCAGCACAAATGCTGGGCTCGAACTCATGAACTGTGAGATCATGACTTGAGCCAACGTTGGACACTTAACCAACTGAGCCACCCAGGCACCCCTAGGAAACTGGTTTTGTGTCTACAGCTCTGTAGAGTAATATTTATGTCTAAAGCTATGTGGTGATTGATTTTAGACATTTTTCAAATATAAATTCAAGGTAGTTCAAATGTGCTGACTTAAGACCATAGCTGCTGTGGCTTCTAAGTGGACTAATTCCCTTACTAATACGTGTGTCCCAGAACAGCCAGTGATTCATTTTGGTGTTAAACGGTACAAGTCTGGGCCAGATTTAGCTAGCAACCAGAGTTGCATCTTGATATACTAAACCAAGGATACTTCTTTATTTTGGTCAAAACATTGCTGTGGTAACATGATCTCCTCAGAATTTACTGAGAATCATGGGGATATTTCTGGAGGAGAATTCACTTTCCTGGAGGTAAGGAGTTTGGGGATATAGTCTAAGACCTGTATCTAACCCTAAGATCTTAGATAAATTATTTCATTTCTCTGGATCTTCATCTGAGGGACGAGTTGTATAACAGCAGGTAATCTCATGCTCCTTCCAGCTCCTTTCTTCCGAAAGGAAAAACTAAGCCAGCTTGCAGCCAGTGTATGTAGGATACAGTGTATATAAATATGCAAAGTCTATATGGCATGATTAAAGAGGACGCTATCTGCCACTTGCCCAGTATATCCCCTCCACATATCCTCTGGCCCCATTAAGTGAATCCCTGCATAGGATTAGGGGAGTGTGGCACTGTGGCAAGGAGCCTGATGAAATAACTGCTACTTCCTAGCTGTGTGTCTTGGGCACATTACTTAACCTCTCTGAATCTTAGTTTCCTTGTATATAAATGGGTGGATCAAATACCTTCTTACAAAGCTATTGAAGATTAAATAAGACTGAGTATGTGAAAAGGCTTTGTAAGGTATAAAGCATAAAACAAATATCACTGTAGTTTGGAATTTAAGATATCAAAATTGGGTGGCTTAGTCAGTTGAGCGTCTGACTCTCCATTTCGGCTCAGGTCATGATCCCAGGGTCATGGGATCAAGCCACATGTCACGCTCCACACTGAGCGTGGAGACTGCTTAATATTCTCTCTCTTTCCTCTTTCTCCCTCTGCCCCTCTCCCCCACTCACTCTCTCTCTCTCTTTTAAAAAAAGATTAGAACAATAGTTCTGTGTAGAACATTGACATATACACAAAAACCAGTTAACTCTTCATAACCTAGAAAACAGTTTATATATACATTGATTCTTAGAGGTTATTGAATAGTGGATTTTTCCATCTGGAATTATTTAGGCCTTTTCTTTCTCTTTTTTCTCACCAAAAGTACATAGTAATGTTAGAAGAAAATGAAAGGCAAGAGAGAGGGGTGCTGTCTGGAGAGGGATCCGCTGGCCACCTGGTAGTCCTCCTCAACCGTCACCCTTACTCCCCTGTGCCAACACACAGTCACCAGATCATTTCTCAGGGACCAAGTCACATTGTCAGAGTTCAGAGAGACTGGTGTAGAAAGCAGAATCTCCTTTTATTAATTTACAAGAAGAGATTTAACCGTTGAGGGGCTGAATGTTTGCTTTTTTTTTTTTTTTTCGGTTTTTGGTCAGTAAGTTCTAGACACTTAAACGAGAACAGCAACCTATAACACAAAATCCCAAAGTACAGTGGCTTAACCCAGACAGAGTTCTCTTTTCCATAGAAGAAGTCTGTACATATTCAACTCCAGGCTGATATAGTAATTTCAGTGTATCATCTGGATATAAGCTTTTACCTTTTTATTCTGCCATCCTCAGGCTGTGACTTCCATGCTCCAGGCCACTTCATGTTCCAAGATGACTGATGAAGGCCAGTCATGATGTTCATGTGTCAGCAGCAGTTAGGAGGAAAGAAGAAAGAATGATATGCCACCTGTTTTGGGGCTTTTCATTAGGCCCATCAACATTTCCACTTACATGTCATTGAAAATCTGGTCTCATGGCCTCCTCCAGCTGCAAGGGCAGTTGGAAACTGTGGTCTTTTGGGAAGGCACACTGCTTCCCCAAATAAAATTGGGGTTCTGTTATTTATTTTTTTTTTAATTTTTTTTTCAACTTTTTATTTATTTTTGGGACAGAGAGAGACAGAGCATGAACAGGAGAGGGGCAGAGAGAGAGGGAGACACAGAATCGGAAACAGGCTCCAGGCTCTGAGCCATCAGCCCAGAGCCTGACGTGGGGCTTGAACCCACGGACCGCGAGATCGTGACCTGGCTGAAGTCGGACGCTTAACCGACTGCGCCACCCAGGCGCCCCAGGGGGTTCTGTTATTAAAGATACAAGGAAAAGGATGTTGGGATAGGCATTTCCATTGCAGTAGCCAAATTATAATCATAAGGTGGCTGAATGAGCAGAGAGAGCTAGATTTATGATTTGTCATTTAAGGTGCTAACACTTAAAAAAAAATTTTTTTTTAATGTTTGTTTATTTTGAGGGAGAGAGAGAGCGAGCAAGCTGGGAGGGGCAGAGAGAGAGAGACTCACACACAGAATCCAAACCAGGCTTCAGGCTGTGTGCTGACAGCTCAGAGTCTGATGCGGGGCTCAAACTCGAGAACTGCAAGATCATGACCTGAGTTGAAGTTGGACACAACCAGCTGAGCCACCCAGGTGCCTCAATGTGCTAACATTTAAGGCTGGGCTTCTCAGATTTCACTGTGAACTTGGGTCACCAGAGATCCTGCTAAAATGCAGTTTCTTATTGAAAATATCAGAGGTCAGGGTGGAAATTCTGCACTTCTAATAAGCTCCCAGATGATGCTGGTCTATAGACCACACTTGGAGTAGAAAAGCCTTTCTAAAGCATCGCTCCTAAAATTATTGGCATTTTTCTCTAACAATTGGAGGACAACACCTGATGCAACCAGCTTATCACACAGGGATCTGTGGGCTGGGGGTGACTTTGGTGTCTGGATTTGGAGTGAGTAGGAACCGGCTAAAGCTGAATGCACAGTTTGCTTTAACTAAACCTACTACAGCCACTTTCCGTTTAGAGCATCTGCCCTGCAAGCAGACAGACTGAAATTCCCTGTAGGAAAGAGCTGAGGAAGATGGAGGGGTGAGAGCTGTTGGGGGAAGGTGTCATAGTCTTGACTCACAACTCAGCTTATCATTTATTGCCTGCCTGAGAGGACAGACCATGGCTAGACCGAAGCAGGAATTTAATTTTGCACTGCCATGGGAAGTGTTTATGGAAGTTCCTTGGATAGGGTCAGGGCCATCAAAATGGATATCCACCTTTCACCACCCACTGGAGAGACCAAACCTACAACATCAAACATCTCTTGCTCTTCCTTTCTCCTACTTAGCCCAACAGGCTTCTCCGGATCACGTAGGGTAGTTCTTTCTGTTGTATGTGGGACCCCATATTTCCCTCAACTGCCCATTATTACTAGTTAAGCCAATGTAACAGAAATTACTAGTTAAGCCAATGCTCCCAGAAAATGGGAGACACTAGGGATAGTCCTGTATTTTAAACTCCTGGCAACATTTTTTGTGTGCGAAGAAAAGACAGAATTGTAAAAAAAATTTACTCTTTATCTTAAATGTTTATTTTTAGTTATTTTTATTTTTTAAATTTACATCCAAATTAGTTAGCATATAGTGCAACAATGATTTCAGGAGTAGATTCCTTAGTGCCCCTTACCCATTTAGCCCATCCCCCCCCCCCAATCCCTCCTGTAACCCTCTGTTCTCCATATTTAAGAGTCTCTTATGTTTTGTCCCCCTCCCTAGTTTTATATTATTTTTGTTTCCCTTCCCTTATGTTCATCTGTTTTGTCTCTTAAAGTCCTCATATGAGTGAAGTCATATGATTTTTGTCTTTCTCTGACAAATTTCACTTAGCATGATAACCCTCTAGTTCCATCCACGTAGTTACAAATGGCAAGATTTCATTCTTTTTGATTGTCGAGTCATACTCCATTGTATATATACACCACATCTTCTTTATCCATTCATCCGTCGATGGACATTTGGGCTGTTTCCATACTTTGGCTATTGTTGATAGTGCTGCTATAAACATTGGGGTGCATGTGTCCCTTCAAAACAGCACACCTGTATCCCTTGGATAAATACCTAGTAGTGCAATTGCAGGGTCGTAGGGTAGTTCTCTTTTCAATTTTTTGAGGAACCTCCATACTGTTTTCCAGAGTGGCTGCACCAGTTTGCATTCCCACCAGCAATGCAAAAGAGATCCTCTTTCTCCGCATCCTCGCCAACATCTGTTGTTGCCTGAGTTGTTAATGTTAGCCATTCTGACAGGTGTGAGGTGGTATCTCATTGTGGTTTTGATTTGTATTTCCCTGATGATGAGTGATGTTGAGCATTTTTTCATGTGTCGGTTGGCCATCTGGATGTCTTTGAAGAAGTGTCCATTCATGTCTTTTGCCCATTTCTTCACTGGATTATTTGTTTTTTGTGTGTTGAGTTTTTGATAGGTTCTATATAGATTTTGGATACTAGCCCTTTATCTGATATGTCATTTGCAAATATCTTCTCCTATTCTGTCGGTTGCCTTTTAGTTTTGCTGATTGTTTCCTTTGCTGTGCAGAAGCTTTTTATTTTGATGAGGTCCCAGTAGTTCATTTTTGCTTTTGTTTCCCTTGCCTCTGGAGACGTGTTGAGTAAGAAGTTGCCGAGGCCAAGATCAAAGAG